TCTTCTGTCCCCTTCCATCCTTTCTTTTCCCCCCGGCCTTCCGTCCTCCTCTCGTTCACCGTTGCCGTCTGCAGCCGGAGTGTAACGAAATTCAGCAATAAAACGAGCCAACGCCGGTTGTTAAGATAATGCCCCGCTCCTGGTACTGTCTAGAGAACGCAGAAGCCTCCGGTATAAAAATATAATGGCTTTCGCAAAGCTGGATTTCACGGGGATTCCTGCATAATTCGCGGTCCACGGCTACAAACGTATCTTTTGTCCGACGCGGCATCCGAATTCTTCGCGACATATTCGCCGGGCCGCGTTACTCTCGTTTCGCAATAATTGAATCGTTGTTCCGTTGATTTCTGTTCGTCGGAGCTTAACCCTTTGCACTCTGAAGGTGCCCCTCGGTCGCCGCTCGATTGGCGCATCAAAATTGTAAAATTTCGTATTTAACGTTAAGTCTTGAGTAATCTATCGATACGCGAAATGTGAAAATAAAATACCATTATTCGGTGAATAGATTCCTTAATTTAAAAAAATGTTATCTATATCTCATAAAAGTAAATTGAATATTTCTAGTGACAAATTTTTGGAGTGCGAACGGTTAATTGCTCGCTTCGGAATGGAATCATTATATTTTCGGGGAATCTCGAGCGCGATGGTAATCTCGCTCGGAATCGAATCTTACCCGCGGAACACGGGAACGCTGGAACGCGGCGACTATGCAGTAATAATAATACTAATTGATCGAAATTGCGCACTTCGATAAATTTCAATTGCACAACAAAATGCAACGAGAGGGTCGTTAATTAATTGAATATTCATTTGTTAGCTAATCCCGGTAACAATAACCGATGTGTACGCTGTATGGAAATATATTATTATGGATTCTCGGTAAACGCTTCAGCGAACAGCTTTAGAATTGCAGCGCAAACAAAATCATTGTTGATTTTCGTAAACAGTGGGCACCGCCTAGCGGTAATGGACCGCGGGAATTTACGCGACTCCCGGAACACCGAAATTAACGTAGATACAATCTTGTTAATAGTACAAATTGTATCAATATATTCCGTACAGCATTTGAATTAAATCGACTTTATCACAATTCCGTATCGCACAGTTTTTCGCGAATATTCTCTCGATATAAACGCAGTGGTATTCTTTCATTGTCCACATCTTTCTCTTGAATCACCGCCACGCCGCGCGAATATTTCAGTCGACAAAATGAACGCCTCGCATCAAACAAATTATCGCAAACCGCGCAACATCTATATTACATCGCGCCCCAATAAATTATTACAACTCACGGAGCAAAGCTAAAACTGTATTCCCAACGAATCACCGCCGAACTTTCCCCAGTGACAATTATAATTCTACGATATTATACATCCCAACGAACCGCCATCGATTCTCCCAACTCCAAAAGCGAACCCATAGTTGCTCGAACAAATTTCGATTTTAGTTCACAAATAGTTGCTTAAATCATAATACGATACTCGAGCGTCCTCGAGAATTTCGGCTGATAGAATTAGAGTCACGTAGGATGTTAATCTTCGATCCCCGTACGTAGCTCGTTATCGATCTTCGCGAATAATTCCGAACATCGGCTCCGATAACCGAAGTGAATTCCATAACGGGCGCGCATAATTTATTATCGGTCGTATTGCGTGCACCGGCAACAGTTATACGGCTGCGTAATAGATATTGCCAGTCTGGCTCATAACGCCGCGCCAGCCCCGGGATCCGCGGTCGTCTAACCGTTAACGAGATTAATCCATCGAAACGCGCGGCTGGGATACCGAGGAGCGTAAGCACGGGAGACCGACTTGAGAAATATCATCGTACCAGCTACCCGGGCACCGATGGTAATAAAACGGCGCAAGGGGAAGAAAGGATCCTCGGCTCCGCCGGTGTTATTCTTGCCGGCGGTTTAATGCCGTATCCGATCCCCGCGACCGCGAGAATATACGTTTGCTTTGACGATACGCGTGAAAATTATTAGCAAAGAGACGATAAATCGGAACAACGCTGGTCGCGATTCGCCTTCGTTCTAATTGGAGAGCCTGACACCGTGAGTCCCCGATAACGGAAAGAAACAATGAATATTTCCACTCGAGCCGGGCTCTTCCGGGGAAAGTGGATTGGAGAAGTAGAATTACAATATTGATCGAGCGAAAGAAGAAATCTAGATTAAGGTTCCATTTCGAAATGCCAGGTTTGTGGAACTCGTCAGTCTAACGCGAATTGAATTTCATGAACCGGGAGTTGTCCGTTTCCAAGCCTCTAATTCTCTAGATTTAAACGAACTTGAACTTTGCAGAAATAATAGACTACGATAAATGTTCGTGGAGTTAATTCGAAATAGAAGTTTGTATAAATTAACGAAGCAGACGCTGATGAATAGAGATAAAGTTGCTGCAATCAGTCATGTTTACGTACACACGCAGAAACGAGCGTGAGATTTGCATAGCTATTTTCCCTTTGCTTCCTAGAACACTATTATCCTTAATTATATCACTTTGTTGCACCATTCCCAGCAGGGATAATCGAGGCAAGGGAGAACAGTCCTTCCATCACGTTACGAACAGCAGCGGGAAGCACCCTGAAACGAGGATTTTTAAAACACTGCTTTTGTTATCCGCTCCGCGCCCGTCCGATTTAACGGCCATAGTAAACTATCCCTTTCCACCGTCAAAGCGGGGATATCTCGTTCGCCATCATAAAGGGGTTAACTTCCGCCCGGAATTCGAGTCGGCCCGCGTCCCCCGCAGCAGTGAGCCAGCTTTCAGACCTTGCGATCGCAAATTTCTGTAAAACGGATTGTCCCGAGCGTAAAACACAATTTCACCGGCGGAAGAAGTTCTCGCCGCGGCGGGGGTGTATCGGGGAGGGACGGATCGGCGCGCTGTCACAGGCCGTTAACGTCTCCGGAGAAGAGTCGCGGATCGATCGCCGCGAAAAAGGCCGGCGTCCGCGGGAAACTTTTCAATTACATTAGCGTCGGAGCATATTAAACGCGTCTTCGAGGAATCTCGGCGACGATCTCGATTTCTCCCCGCGCGGACGGTAAACTTATAAACCATGGAAACTTAGTTTCACGTTCAATGAATCGACCGGCACCGTGC